CATTCCCCACCATAATAAATCTGGCGCGCTTGAATGTACACGATGCGCTGAGTTGTGACTTAGAAGGTTGGCAACTGACTGGGTATCTAGACATACTTGGAAGAGTTTTGAGGCGACTGGAGAACGAACAGTCAGGCTGTAATGCGGCCTCACCGTGGCCTATATGACCCTCCCTCAGAGGCCGGAACACGTGGAAAAAGGCCGTGTGCAGCCTCTATAGACGGGTTGTTTAGACACGTCAGCCATTACGCTTGAGCCCACGCTTGGTTTCCTTGACATTGTCTTAGCCTCGGAACAAGGTAGATGAGGGAGAACAGAGTGCGGCAGATACTGTGCAACTCTGCTATTCTACAAGCTAATTTACGCGAAAGTAATCGATGCTGCGTCACCTCTGTGGGACAGACGAAGGACGTCAGCTACTCGCCACGGTCAAACTTTCAGGTTAGGAAGACTCGATGTGGTGTTTTAGCGCGCAGTTTCATGGGGACGAATATGGCTGAATGTACGTGAGCAGTGCGGCAATTAAGACGGGTGCAGCGGGGGGATGTATGGGGATGCTCCTGGCACTTCTTCGCCAATCTAAGAGCGATGGATCCGCAAGTGACCAATCAGGTTGATGTGTGATGTGAAGACTCGATCGCAATGGGGACAAGTTGAAATCGAGTACGCACTGTTGGCAGTGGTGTTGGTGGTGGTGGTGGTGGTGGTGGCGCTTACGATGCTGGGTTTTAGAGCTTTGGAAGTCTTCTCACCGTGACGGGAGGGCGAGGGGAGGGGAAGTCGTCGTGGTCGTCGGCGTGGGGGTTGCGGGAGTGCTGCTAGATGTAGGGGGTGGCGACTGTGGCAACGTCGGCGGCGGTGGTGGTGGCGGCGGGGTGTCGGGGGTTTGCTCACCGTTGGTGGTGCTCGTCACAGCATACATCGTAGGAGTTGCGGTAGGAGTGAAGGTAGAGGCGTTTCCGGGGGAGGTATAGGTTGTCGTGCCGCTGTTGTACTGAGTCCGAAAATGTACGACGGAGCGGTCGGATGTGGTTTGGTAGTCCCACATGAAGTAAGCAAACCCCAGTCACCTCTAATAAGGGACCGGCAGTAATAGGGGTTTTTACAGTTGGAGACGGGGAACGCAAAGGCGACGAGGTCAAGTAGTTTTATTCAAAAGAAAAGCTATGCCACACAACCTCTCGGAGGAAAGCTACGTGGTGATATGCATGAGCCGGACTTGCGAAAGGCATGGGATATCCGTTTCCGTGTGCCGTTTTTATGTTGCATGTTCACCTATGTTTTCATTATCAGCGTTGTGGATCAACTTGCCGGTCCGTTTACTGAGACGTTTGCGGCATTGCTTGCTGACCGTCATTAACAGGTTACGATTCTGCTAAATGCCTGGGGAATGTTTCCCCCAATTTACTTCACCTCGTCCAAAAAGTGTTTTCGAGCACACGCCCCGTCGAGTGCTGTACCATTTCATTGTTATGGTGCGGTTTATGCCCACGGATGTCGTACACCTGGTGACTCCAGTTCCTTCGAGAAATGCCAGGCAGGTTTTCATTACCTTTGGTAATGTCAGTCTGCTTTTGTGAAACCCCGCCCCAGTCCAAATCCGTATCTTGGTCTATTTTCAAAATAAGGGGTCTAGCGTAAAAACAGTTCTTTTATTGTAAGCTCAGGTCGTAGTTGAGCTTTCTGTTGCGGTCATTCAAGAGCCTGTAAAATATGTCCATAGTTGTCACATAGTAATATTTATTCTGTATCGATCACATCGAATCCATGGGCGGGCTTTTGAATTTGAGCCGCCATTTTTGTAGCTCTCCATTCACGTGTGGATTTTTACAATTGTACAATACTGTGCCTTTTCTCTTCGATATATTGAATT